CTGGGTTCGGAGCGGGCAGTGCCGGGCACGGAGCGCACCGCGCACCCGGGAGTCGCGGGGAGAGGCAAAGACAGTCGGCCTGCTCGGGCGGCCGATCCAGACGCAAGCCAGCAAAGCGGCGCTCTGCTTTCATTTATCAGCACCCTTAACGATGTCATGTTAAAGCTGATTAAACAAACAGCCCGCTACAACACGCGCACGGTGCCTGACTGAGGTGCAGAATTTTCTCATTCTCTTCACTCTTTTAGTGCCTGAAGTTTCAGGAGGTTGCTATTGAAATCAGCCCAGCAGTACTTAGTAGGGGAGAAAGACAAGTTTCTGTCTGTACTGAGGTTACCATCACTCTCGTAATGTTGTTCTCTATTTAGGGGCATAATGTACAATTTTCCCATTAATCAGGAGCACTTGAGTCTCCTCATCGTGTGTTTTCTTATTTCTCTCCAGTGCAACAGTATGCTGCTAACGTTATGCCCTTTGCATAATTCCTTCATCTATTCGAAATTTACATTTTGAAATGTACGTATACTACATGCGGCTGAAATTTAATGCCTGTTTTGCCAGCCAGCATTTGTTAGATCCGATTACCTCCGTAAGACCCCTGAAGAGGCGACAGCGGTGCGCGCGGGCACACCCAGGTATCCTTGAACCTGCCTGGCCAGGGCAGCACGGCTGAGGTCCGCGGGCTCCTGCAGCTCCGTACTGCAGCTGCTGACCTGCACCGGCGCCCACGGTACCTCCAGGGGCACCGTCGCCGTGGCAGGCATTGAAAGCTCGTGTAAGTGAACCTGCCGAGGCTGCAATCGCGCTCTGGCAGCCCAGCTACGCCTCTGCCTTCCCAAACGCCACTGCAAGCTTTGATAAGAGCGAGCAGCGGTGACACCAAGCTCAGACAACTCCCCTGCAGAAGCAGGAGCAGAAGCAGCACACTGAGTACAGTGCCTTTCCTAAACTGGAACCAAAGAGCCTTGAAAACAGGGCGTGAGCGACCGACCAGTCGCAGTAGTTAGAGTTTCTACACCAAGAGGACCAACATCTAGAGTTGCAACTCTGATGCAGAGGAAGCCTCAGCAAGGACAGAGGGTGCCAGCAAACTTTTGAAACAAAACAGTCTGAAGAGCCAGAGGAACGTGTCCTCAAACAGCAATGTCCCAGCACAGGGCTTTCAAAAACGCCCAAGCCACAAGAAATTTAATTTCATCCGAAGTTGGTGGTTTTTTTCTTAAACATGCTTAGCGCTTTCCAAAGGCACATGGACCTTGCTGGACAACCATGCCACACTTCCCAGGGCACATCACAACATACACAAAAGTAATGACTAATTACACAAGACACCAGAACAAAGAAAGAATTAATGCGGTTGACATCAGCTGGAAATAAATCTTTTTTTAAAGACAGTCATATGTATCACATCCCTGCTCATTTCAATGCTACAGGAATTAGAAACTGCACTCTGATCCTGCTGTAAATGTGCATAAAGACATTTCTAAGGCTCCACTCTGCACAAACACAAGTGTGTGTTCTCCCAGGCAAAGTCCCATAGCAGCTTATATCTTTGGGGCACAGCAGGCCAGACACCGGAGAAAGAAAATTGTTTGGGAGCAAGTATGCTCCATGCCAATGGCTGGCAAGCAGGAGGGAGCTGATAATTTTTAAACTGCTGTCCAAGCATCTGTTGGTAGATACGAGAGCAAAACGAACTCTCTGGCTACGCCTGCTGTGCAGGAACAGCAGGGCAGCCTTCTACAACTGCAGAGCAGCACACAGAAAATTAATTTCCAACAATTATTTGTGCTCTGGCCAGAGAACCTAACCTCGCATCTGAACAAGCCAGAGGAAAGCTACAGGACATCTACAGTTGCTGCCTCAAATGCATTCAAGACATACCAAAGAAGTTCTTATTCATACCCCTCTCATTCCAAGCATTCAAAAAGCAACAGAAGATCCTTTTCCAAGGCCGTGGCCCTACAGCAGCAGCCCTGAGCCGGCACAGGGGCACTGCTACAGCGGAGGCCAGCACTCACCAGTTTGGATTCTCCAAGCTCTCTCTGAAGACAGACTCCTCGCTCAGAGACGCATACTGTGTCCACGTAAGACAATGAGTTTTCATAGCCATGTTTCTTTTCTGCGTATTAAGCCAAGATTCCTCTTCCAAGTAGATGTTGGGCACTTTTAAGACACTGACCTGGGAAGTAGAAGAATTATAGCTTTTTTTTTTTTAAAAAAAAAAGGGGCAGAATCACTTCTCAGTATTTTGAAAGTATTACTTCATCTAGCAAGCGTGGGCCAAAGAAGGGATAGAAATCTCACCATCGGCTTATTTACATTCTGCATGTATAGGGCAATGATACGTTCGCCTTGGCAGGTGAGGCTTGGAAGAGACAAACACATGTTTAGAGGCAAAAACATACAGAGTCGTCAGCACCAGGAAAAGAGCACATGCACACTTCTAGGCATGCAGGCTGTGAAATAGTACAGCTGTTTAACCACGCATGAATGTAAATGTACTTTTCTGTATACAGACTACCTGCTGCAAGATACTCTGCAAAAAACCAAATAATAAATGAAGGCTAATTCTTCTCCCATACCAAACTGTGAAGAAAGGACTGTCACTAAAAGAGACACAAGAGAGAGACACTAAGGGATTGCACAACCCAGGTCCTTACATTTTCTACAGCCTTTAAGGAACCGCGTTTTATCTTCTTTCTAGGGACTCTACGATGCCATCTTTAACTTGCAACATGCTATAGGCACATTAAGTATTACTGTAATTCCCTCTGAATTCACTTACAGAATGGTTTTGTGAGAGATTACAACCCAATGCATTCAGGAGCCATGGATCAGATATCCAATAATACATGAGCTCAGCTCAGAAATAATTACCCAGTGTTTATTACCAGCTGCTGCCTTCTTGCTGAGTTCCACAAGACTGAGTTTTTTATAAAAACACCATCTACCTCACAGAAATCATGAGCACTGACAGCAATAAGATTATTGTATTGGGGTGGGGGGAATGGCTGCACTTTCACCATGGCCCAGATAACGTTTTATAACAGCTTTATTTTTTCCAGGTACAAAATTTAAAAACCCATCACTGCTTGTAAAACCACCACCACCAGTTGTATCTTAGTGTGCTCATGGCTACAATTTTGTCCATTCAAGTTAAATATAAAACCAGTTCCTTGAGAATTTTTTTCTCTTAACTTCTCTTTAAAAGTAACTTTTCTAATTTAAAAAAAAAAATCATTAGGAAATGGGGTCCTTTTAAACAAGATAAACCACAGCGAAGCATCAAGGTTTTACAACTTGACTAAATTTCTCTAGAAGTAGTTACCTTTCTTAAAATGTCAGGAATTACACTAAAAGTAGTTACCTTTCTTAAAATTTCAGGAATTACATTCTGGCACGTTGCAATTCTCCTCCGGTAAATAATTCCTGTAGACAAATCTGATGATAAAAGAAAATCAGAAGGGAAGAGTTACAGCAACAAATATTAACATTTTTTTTTTAATAAAATTAAAGCAGTTGGAAGACTTCACAGCACAGCAAATATGCAAGGAGAAATGCTGGCAAATTAACAGAGCATTGGGGGGCAGGGATGGTTTTGGTTTGGGGTTTTTTTAAGTACAACCCCGTATTTCTGCTGCTTTGGTAGACAGGAGGCTGTAAATAAGACTGCTACGGGCATTTTGCGCTCTGCCTCAAGAGGAGGGCACCGGCATCCCCCACTGTGACCCAGACCCCCCTCACCCAGCGCGCCGCACAAACACGTCCCTGG